GAACGTATACGTAAATATTTCATAAACCGTAACTCGTACATATCCGTATCGTTTCCGTAAATTTACTTCGCTGTTTACAATAAACCAAAGATCATACTACAAGTAGTAACTTTGAAACATTTTCAACCTTTGCGACTATGCGCAAGACTTACATATCGCTTACATATACCGACGTAAAAATTACGTTCATTGTAAACACCTTCGTATGTTTTTATACAGTTCAACTTTGCGAAATTTTTATGTTTTATGTATTTCTTACGTATTTTACGTTCATTGTAAACGCACACTTAAAGGGTTTTTATTATTAGTTGCAGGTACATAATAATAATCCCCCGCCCTTCATCTAGTAGTGATATGTTGATCTTTACCGGGACGGTTCCTAGGCTCTTGAATGAATTAATGACTTCCTCCAGGATCTTGTAGCAGTCTTCGGGAGTCAGACCTTTGCTTTTCTCGGGTCAATTAGTTTTTCGGATGAACCACATTGACAAAGGGCACATTTTTCCGAGTCCATAACTGACGCGTTAAGTGTGTTACAATCCATATTCCTTCTATTCTTCTCCCTCTACTTTTCTTATCCTTATTCTTTACTTGTACAATTCTTCTCCTTCATCTCCTTCTATTTTTCTTTTCTTTATCTTACTTAAATTAACTGTACTCCCTTTATCTGTAAATAACCTTTACATACGTAACGGAGCTGACACGTTTTGGGCCGTATCCGTTTCTTTCGCGTTTAGCGGAGTTACAATACTAAAAACTAGAATTTTGTAGGTACATATAAGTATAATAATTTTTAAGAGCTATAAAAAGGGCTAGAAGCATGGTATTCTTAAAACCAGGGGTTATTGAATTATAACCAAAGTACGCAACTGCATGAATACGAAAACCTCGGATTTTGACGTCACTTCCGATAACAGGAAGTAGGAAGTAGTCGTGTAATATATCGCGGTAAAGGTATTTTTAAGAGCTATAAAAAAGATCAGAAGCACGTTTCCATAAAAACTCATAGTTCCTGCAGAATAAATAAGGCACTCCCCATATTAAGTAAGGCCTAATCTTTGAACGGCCGCCATTTTGTTTTTTGATAACTTTTTGTATGCCTCCCTATCTTAAAATCATCAGGACTATACCCTGACCAATACCTGTGACTTTCATGCTTCCTTCAAATCCGCAATTTTTACTGAAATCTGCCAGACTAAAAGGGGTTTGAGGGATCAAGAAGCGCATTCAATTAATTTTAAACTACTGTATCTAAGAAAAAAACGGTTTCCCACCCTCTCCTGCAACGAAACGTGTACAGTTCTTTTGGGTTGCAATATTTTGCAGTTAAGGGCCGAAGGAAAAAGCAATTTCTGTTTAATTTTGTACTATTATTATTAAATACGGTAAACGGTTTAACATTTTAACAAGCCCCGACACTAAAAGCTCTGACCTACATTATAATTTAATTGAACAGATTTAATCCATTGCAATTATAGTCACGTGGCGAACAGCTTATAAAAACAGCACGTGGACAAGGTATAAAATTTCAATCTGAAAAATACGAATCGGATTAGCATAACATTAAAACGGTGGCGAGGGTTTACTAAAGGAATCAACGCGGAGTTTTTAAACTGTGATCGAAAAACGAAAATGAAGGAAGGCAAGGAAGGCATATAATGCAACTTTTCCATACTGCACGTGCATGTTGCAAAGGCTCGTCGAAATAACAAACTTATAAAACCCAAATGTTTGCGTAAGAAATTAGCATTAATGGAAATTTTAGGTAGTGAAATTCAGCATAATCCGTTAAGAAATATTTCATCTTTAGGTTATGCAAATTGTATTCCGCAAAGATTAATTTTAACAGGGTCATAGTTACAAATTTTGTACCACAGTGAGGTTAGACACATGTCAAATTAATGTAAAGATTAAATAATGACGGCCGGTACGCAGCCGGAGGCCGAAAAAGAAAACTAATGAAATATTAAAACGGTATAAATATGAAAATTTGGTCGATATGCAAAAAAGCTCACGTATCGCCGTCACTTTTGGAACGACGTGCCTTGCTCTGCAGCTTTAGCAGAAATGTCATAGCGTCACATCACAATTTCTGATCAAACGTGCTGTCTGCGCTGTATTTTGCTGATGTATTGCATCGACAATAATACCTCAAAATTTACTGTTGCTGACAGTTGAAGCTCTTCAATTTTATATCTGCTGTTAATGGACACTTGCGGTTTAGTATTGTTTCTTTTTTTTTTATTATAAATGCTTGTCACAATATTTCCCCAACGAAAGAGATCCTTAATCTTGAGATTAAAATCTCATCTCCCCCGAGTCGCCATTAGCATAATTAAATTCCAAATTGTAATATTAATTAACTCTCAATTTACTCCGTGCATATACGGCAATTAAGTTAATTGTATATTTAGTTACCCGCTTCGTTCCGGTTATCCTTTCGTGCAATTATAAAAATTCAAATACACTCGTCCTGCTCTTCAAATGGATGGAGTGATTCTCGTTTCGTTAATATGCGTTTGTGCTTTTGTCATCATATAACGTAACCGTTGTCAACGGTTTCACTTAAAAAAACGGTTAGCTCGAGGGTAAACTGAAAAATTTTCATTATTCTCACGGAAAGAAAAATATAGGGACCATTCTATTTTTTTTTTTTTTTTTTTTTTTTTTTTTTTTTTTTTTTTTTATCTGAGGCTTCGGCTTCTAGGGCCATTCGCCTTTATATACATTCTTTTACACAGAAAAAGATGACTATATAAGTACAATGGGACAGAAACGGATCTAGTTACATTTATTAACATACAAAACCAACAATTTAAAAATATCATAGATCATTTGCTATACCAATTCTTTGGATGAAGGCAAGAGTATTTTTACATTGCTCTTTGTTTTTAAAGTTATTTTCCCATGCAGGGTCGATATTAAAGAGCACACGTACATCTGTGTACTGCGGACAGACAGAAATAATATGATGTGGTGTTAAAATAACACCACATTGTTCGCATAGTGGCCGTTCTTCGCCCGCCAACAAATATCCATGAGTGAGGGCAGTATGCCCCAGCCGGAGTCTGTACAGCCTGATCAAGTTCAAACGCCCAACGTCGATATAAAATAGCGGATCCAGACTCTGTTTGATCTTCTTCAAAGCCGTATCAGTCTCCGACCACTGTTCACTCCACCGCTCATAAATTTTCGTCTTCACAAGTTCACGTCGTGCAATAGATGACATATTCGTAAAGTCAACGTTATCCAGTTGGAGATAGTTTAATACCTCTCTAGCTCTAACACCTAACGATCTACATCTATTTAGCCGAGCAATTGTAGTTGCATCAGTAAGTGATATAAAATTTGGATGTTTATCATCTATCCTTACTTTTATATAATAGTTTGCAGCAATCTGTTTCCGGCGTAGAGCTAGAGGGGGAATATTTGCCTCGACGTGGAGCGATGTTACCGGACTTGTTGGATATGCTCCCAAAGAGTAGCGAATGGCCAGGTTTTGAATCTTGTCAAGTTTCTCAAGCAAAGTATTACTGCCACATGTAGAGTACGCTGCACATCCATAATCCATCCTTGACAGGATGAGGGCCTTATAAATATCTAGGAGGGTCTTAGGGTGAGCTCCCCACCTATGATGAGCTAGAACTCTCATAATGTTCAGCGATTTTCTACATGTAGCCACAACATTCTCCAAATGCTTTGACCATCTTAATCCCCTATCAAAGGTAAGTCCGAGGAACTTGACTTCTTGGACAACACTGATTATACGATTGTTCATAAACAAAACGGGGTCATAGTGGGGCTTACGGAGTCGACAAAAGTGAACAACCTTTGTCTTCTCCTCCGACAGCACGTACCCGACAGCAATGGCGTTATGACAAATGATGTTAATTGCCGTTTGTAGGTTTCGAGTTATTGTGCCAACCGTCTTACCAGAACAACAAACCATTAAATCGTCTACGTATAAGCATTTATCAATTGAATCCTCAACACCTTTGGCTATTTCATTTATGGCGATGCCGAACAGGGAACAACTGAGTGTTGACCCCTGCGGCACACCATTTTCTAAAACATACTCTTTGGAGTTGATATCGCCGATTCTTACACAGAACTTCCTATCCTCTAAAAAGGATTTTATAAATTTAGGTAAATTCCCTCGAAGATTGTATTTATACATATTTTGCATTATTCCATATCTCCAAGTCATGTCATAAGCACCTTTTATATCGAAGAAGACCGCAACCAGATGTTCACCACTGTCAAATGCCCTCAGAATTCTGTCTGTCAGTTTGACCAGATGGTCTACCGTTGACCGTCCTTTCCGAAAACCAGTTTGGTAAGGCACGTATGCGTTATTGCTTTCGAGAAATGTTTGTAGCCGCACATTAACCATTTTTTCTAGCAGTTTTCCCAAGCAAGATGTCAAACTAATTGGGCGATAACTTTGTGCCTGCAACGGATCTTTTCCTGGTTTCGGTATAGGAATTACGATGGCTTGCTTCCATTCTGAGGGGTAGGTAGAATCATTCCAGCAGTTGTTGAAGAATCTTAAGATGGTATTTTTCATTTCAGAACTACAGTGGCGAAGCATCTGGTTATGGATAGCGTCTTCTCCCGGTGAACATGACTTGGTGTTACGGATTGCTGCCTCCAATTCTTCTACAGTAAAAGGTACGTTACAGTTCTGTATATCATCTGTGTTAAAGTCAATTAATACTGCTTCTTTTTCAGGTTTGGTATCTAGAATGGTGTTGGAATAGTTTGACGAGCTACTGACTTTATAGAACTGATCTGCAATTATGTTAGTTATGTCTTGCAGTTTATTGGTAATTATTCCATCGGATTTGCGCAAAAACACCGGATGACTGCAGCTGTTTTTTCCAGATATAGCTCCGACTTTCTTCCAGACATCATTACTGGTAGTCTCTGGTGTCATGGTTGTTACATAATGTTGCCATGAAATTCTTTGGGCTTCTAGTATTCCCCGACGACACTGAGATCTTCGTTTTTTGAACTCTACAAGATTCTCCAACGTAGGATTTCGACGAAATTTATTTAGAGCTTTTTTCTTTAATGCTATTTTTTCTTTGATTTCAGGTGACCACCACGGGACCATCTTTCGCCTATTGCCAGGTTTAGATTTAGATATGCTGGCGTCAGCGGCGTTTATGATGGAAGAGGTAATGGTTTTAACATTTAGATTGTCTTGATTAGGAGGGACGAGGACTTGTGTGAAGAGTTCCCAATTTGCTAATTGGATTTTATATTTAGCTATCGTTTTTATTGGAAGATTATGACCCCTGACTGTGATAATAATGGGAAAATGGTCACTATGATGTAGATCATCTTCCCCCTCCCATTTCAGGCTAGTATGTATACCTGGTGAACATACTGATACATCGATGGAGTCAAATGTGCCTGATCCTGCATTGAAAAATGTAGCGGAGCCATCATTTAGTAAGCTTAAGTTACTATTTTCAATCAGGTCCAACAATTCTTTCCCTCTAGCATCATTTGATCTGGAGCCCCAAACGGTGTTGTGGGAATTAAAATCCCCAACAAGAATAAATGGTGGTGGAAGCTGCCCAATAATTTTTCGAATTTCTTCGACATCATAATTTGTATTGGGAGTGTAAATATTACAAAGTGTACACGATCTACTAATTTCAAGTTTAACGGCTACAGCCTGGTAAGTTGTATGTAATTTAACTTGTTTATAAGGTGTTCCTTTGTGAATGAGAAATGCTACCCCTCCACAGGCTCTTGCAGGTGAGTAGAAATCCTTTCTAATTAAACTGAAATTTTTAACATTGTACTTTGTTCCAGGTTTTAAATGTGTTTCCTGAATGGCAACACACAGTGGTGTGTGCCTTTGTATAAGTAGTTTTAGTTCATTTAAGTTGTTGGATAGTCCTCTACAATTCCATTGTATAATGTTTGTACCCCTTTCGAAGATTTTTGTATATAAAGACAATCACGGTGAGATAAATAACATAAATAAATAACAAATAACAATGTATATGGGACTATTACAAATAAAATGAACAGATAACTAGGATATCACAGATTGTATCACAAATTAATTGCTACAAGACCCTCTTGGCCCCGAATTGCGGGGTTTCCTGGGTTTGCCTTTCGGCCACCCTTTCCTCTTCCTCTGTTGCTTTGCCTCAGTAACTTTATCATCATCTACGGATGTGACACTCGATTCCCTAGATCGAGACAAAGCGGGAGACGTCTTACGTTTAGACCCCCGCGTCTCTGCGTCCATACCCTCTACCTCTGACGCCGTAGTAGGGTCCGAGAAATTAACGCTGTTCCCGGGAATTGATATGGGAACTTCTACAACAGTTGGGGGAGGTTGTACAATTAATCGGTTTGTGGTGAGTATTCTCATTAATGCCTCCATTTCTTCCTTAATTATTTTTCTAATTTCAGGACCGACAGGTTGTACGGGAACTGACGTTGGTACTGAAGCAACCTGTGCAAAAGATGTGCTGGGATTCACTGTCCCAACTTTCTTTTTTGCTTCCGAGTACGACAGCTTTTGTATCACCTTCACCTCCTGTATTTTCATTTCCATCTTGAACACTGGACATGTTTTAGTGACCGCTTTATGCGGCCCTTTGCAGTTTGGACATTCGATGGGTTCTCCGCAGGTAGTTCCTTCGTGTACAGGTTTTCCGCATACGCATCTCTTATCATGCTTACAATTTACAGCAGAATGTCCGAATCTTTGGCAATTAAAACATCTAAGTGGATTTGGTATATACGGACGCACCTGCAAGGGGTAAAACGCCGCTTGGATTGTCCGTGGTAATCTCGGGGTATTGAAGGTAAGTATATGGTTTGCAGTGTCTATAAACACTCCATCCCTCCTTGTCCTAATCCTCCTAACGTCCACTACACCTTGACTACTTAGATTATCTTTTATTTCCTCAATAGAGCAATTCAAAAGATCGCGACAGAAAACCACTCCCT